CAATGGTGTCCTGTTTTAAATCTGGTCACCTTACCCAAGTGGCACCCTAAGTTTGGCTAGAGAACTCGAAAACCTAGGGAGAGAAGGAATGAGAACGGGTGGAGGGTGGGGTGGTTGGATCCATTTTCAGTTCGAATCAAAACTAAACAAAACCCCCAGTAATTCCGAGCCTTCAGAAAGCTTCACCAGAGGAATTGCTGTAATTTCCTGTAAGCATGACTTAAAAAAATATATATATCTCTTACTATAAATCCAAATAGAAACAAACTCCCAAATTTAGACATTTAAGGAACCAAACCGCGTTGCCTCGTGCCAAACTAGCCCAGAGCACAGGGCTTTCGTGGAGCATATCTCAGCAGAAGGCAACATTTTAATAAAACCCTTGGGAAAACAGATTACATTTTCGCAATGAATAATTCATGCGATGAAAAATATTACCTACAGCCTGTCAACTTATATTATTATCACGTTTTTCAACTTAGCGTGCGGAAAAGAAAGTGCTGTCTGTGACTAGGAATTGCAGGAACGATGCTCACTCCGAGGGCCGCCCGGCAGCGTGGTGTTTAGGGAGTTTATGGTCCTTTCCGGGTCCACGGTGGGGGTGGGTGGGAGGAAAAAGCAGGACGATTCCGTGCAAACACAGGGAGGGTAACCCTCCAAGGGAAGCATTTTCAGAGGCTAGGGCTGACATCCGGTGCCATTTGTCTGGACCACATCCAGGCGGGCCCCTTCTGTAACGATTTAGTGCCAGAAAGCTCTTTGTGGGGAGGACGATCCGAGGGGTTGCCACTTCAGCCCTCCTAGCAGCCGCTTACTGGCAGATAAAGGAGGCGCGGTGCACTGCGCTCTGAGCCTCTCAGAAGGCTGCCTCGTGGGGTGGGGCTCACTTGCTACCAGAAACGATTGAATCCGTGTCTCCCACCCCTCCCCCTCCCCATCCCTCTCCTTGCAGCCGCAACGGCGCAGACTGGGAGCCGCTCTCCAAGCGCCACTCCGACGGAATCTTCACCGACAGCTACAGCCGCTACCGGAAACAAATGGCTGTCAAGAAATACTTGGCGGCTGTCCTTGGGAAAAGGTATAAACAAAGGGTTAAAAACAAAGGACGCCGAATAGCCTATTTGTAGCGATGTGTTCCTAGCTACCCTGTGTATACAACCCTAACTAACACTAAATGAAAAGTCATTTTCAAAAGTGACTGAACAGTCATCGCTCATGTGTTCTATCCAAACATGTATTTATGTATGAAGTAAAGCCATTAAATGAATATTTTGATAATAATATTGTTTTTCTTTTGTACAAAGCACTAGAGAATGCACAGATATACTTTGTGGACCAATTATTGATATATTATAAATATATATATTATGGATAGATATAATAGCGAGCAATTCATAAAAAGCGTGCACAAGGATTGAAAATTTGCTTGAGCTGTTTATGTTTTTATATAAAATAAATAGAAAAATAGACAATCATTGTTTTGAATATTACTCCTATTTTTGTAAACTGGAACTAAAAGGAAAGTATTTTTATCCACGACAGGCGTGAAGATATTAATACTGACCATTTGTTACTGTACATAAAATAAACAATGATGTCCTGCTCCAGGAAGATGGTGAGGTAAGGATTTGGGAGAATTGCTGCAAGGCATTCTTTCCTGTAAGTCCCTGGGGCAGGCTGCTTCAAACCCAGCCTAATTCCACCAGGCACTACCCCCCTTGCTGGGTGGTGATTCCAATATTTCTGCTTTCTTTGATTCCACTTTTAGGCATATTTGCCTTTCTTCAGACTCTCCTAATCAAACAACAGCTCGATCCAAATTATGCTTCACCCCAGAATTCACGCCACTTCCTAGGGGAAGAGTTGGGGAATTACACAGAGTAAGGAGGCTTGGGTTTGAAGCCCCCTTTTCTGTACTCCCTGATTTGTCAGGGAACCAAATATCCCAAGGTTAGGCCAATTGGACAAAGTGAAGGAAATATGGAAGAGGTAGAGCTTTAGATAAATAGAAGGAAGACCCCAGGGAGGGACTCATTTGTGGCTGCCCTGGTCTGGGAAGCCAAGTCCCACTGCAGGTCTAGGACTTAACTGACTTTGAGTGCTGGGTATTGGAAATGGATGCAAAGTACAATGTGTTTTTCTCCAGTGCTGTTCATGCTTCTCATCTTGTGAAATGGCCAGGATCCTTCCCTTGAGCCCTGCCTCTTAGGAGTGATCCCTTTCCCTTGCAATCTTCTGGAAACCCTTTCCTTCCCTACTTCCCACACTGTTTAAGCACCCTTTTGCATTTTTCATCTCTGAAACTTGTGAATGCTTCTCTCGTTCTCTCTGTTCCGTTTGTTCTGTTGGATGCAAGTAACTATTGTAAAGCTTAGGAACTCCTGTATAGTCCACCAACCTTTGGGTTAGCAGTCAAGCGCTTAACCACTGCGCCACCAGGCCTCCTTCCTGTGTCGTTACCACTAAGTAATTATGCACTAAATATGAACCCTTTGTTTCTTGTTTATTGAGTTTGTAGGTAAAATGTATTTTTCTACATTATGGCTTATTGCATAGTAAAATTTATTTCGTAAAACCAATCTTTGTCACATTATAATGTGTAGTGTGCACATGTTGCTGAGTTTTACTAACTGATAAATTATTGAAACTTCATCTTCATATGTATGACTACTATCTTATATTTGTGGTCAAGAGTGAGGTAAGCAAGCTCCAACAACCCCCTGAGAACCTTCCCTGATATCCTTTCTTGGCTAAAGAAACCATGCCTTTCTGTTCCCTGTCAATTCCTTCGACACAGAGTAATCTCTAGAAACAAAGAACCTTCACCCAGCAACCAGATCAAGCAACCGCAGACAAATCAACCCGCCACTCTCTCAAATCACAGGCACTCTTTTTCTTCTGGGTAAAAAAGAGAAATAAAAAGACAAAGAACAAGAAAAAGAGTAAAATTAGCTTGTAAAGTTTAAAGGACCCTTCCTTTCCCCTTTATGGATTTGATCAGTATGAAGTCATAAATCAAAGAAACCGGAATTGGATTTGCATTCCCAGGCGGGTTGGAGGCTGCCAGGAGATCACATTGCAAACAGTCAGAACACAGAGGCATTCGATCCATGCCTGAGTCCTGTGCACGGATGGGATCAATCTTTCTTTAATTCTGCAGTCTCCTCAGGCAATGTGACGTTACGTGGGATGCAGTTTGCAGCTTTAGTGCCTTTCTTCGCCTTTTAAATCGCCACGACTCACAGATGGCTATTTAGTGGCCCTACAATGCTGCAACACATCAGCTTGCATTTTAGTCTTAATTATTTGTTTCTTGGATAATAGGCAGAGTTTCTGTATTTGTGTCAGTTGTTAGTGGTGAAATAGGACTCTAGTTAACCTTTTATTTATGAAGTCTAATTTAGTGTGCCCGTGGCTAGTTGCAAGCATTTTACAGTGATCACCCAGTTTAATCTTTTGTATATCTTTTAGAAATGCCAAGAGCCTTACTAAATTGGAGCAGATTTATGATATAGTGATAATTTAGGTAGATGTTAGTCTTGAAGCTCTTATTTTGTGTGCAACTGATAATAAAACCATCTTAACCAAGTATTATTACACACATGATATCTATAACTAGGTCTTTGATAACTGTTATATAAAGTGTGTAACATTTGTATAAATAAATTTTTGTAAACAATGCAACCTCGTCTAATGTTTGAAGAAACAAAGACACGTAGGAAACAACTACTTTAAATTCTCTTAGAGCATTCTATTTTCTTTACCAAGCATAAGATTTTTTTCATGTCTGGAATATATTTCTATCTAAGTAAGCATCCACATGTATTCTCATAAACTGTACCTTACTATCCGCTTTTGATGGGTTATTGAATTCCACCAAAAGTTTAAAGTACCTAGCTACTCTGAGGGAGATGCCTAAGAAGATTTTAAGCTCATAAATAGGCACTAAACCAAAACTCAAAGTCACTGCCATCGAGTGAATGCTGAATCAGAGGGACCTATAGGACAGAGTAGAACTGCCCCTGTGAGTTTCTTAAGTGCAGAGATTAGATTAATTTCTGTTCCCTGGTGTGTTCATACTTTGCTCAGTCAGTATTGAGAAAATTACTAGGCAGTGGTGGGAAATAGTACCCGAGTATTAGTTATGTTTCTAAAATAACAGCCCTTCTTAATAAGTAGCTGCAGACCAAATTGGTTTTGATAAGTTTTTGTATAACTATGATTCAAATAACCAGTTTTCGAGGTTTAAAACATGTTCAGGAATACACAAGCAGCATATCTGATTAAAATGTCTGCAGTAAAAGGAACAAGAACATGGGTGAGAAAAAAGTTAATTAGATACCTTTGGTAGGAAGTACACGAGGAAGCCTAGTATAAAATGTGAAAAGACATTTGTGGACTATATGCATTATTAAGTCATATTAACAAGCTTTAAAGCAAAGCTTTTAAATGAAATTTTCATAAATTTCCAGTTTTTTTATTTAACTTATTATTTCCCAGAGCCCTTGACTGATCCTGGGTTAAACAAATTGGATTGAAAGTCACTTTTAATAAGTCATACACTTCTTGATTTACTTTTCCTCCTAAAACTTAATGTATTAAATTAATAAATCAATAAATATGTCACAGTAGTATTAAGGAAGCAACAGGATTCCAAAACTGTCTTTTGAACTTAGCTCAGTATTTAAGACCCAGAATCATAAAGGGAGAAACCTCTAACTGTGTAGTGGAATTAAAATCATATGTGTAGTGGAATTGAAAAAAAAGAGAGAGAATACAATTTCAGATTACATTGGTTTTATTGGATACGTTTTTCTTCTTCATTTTTGAAATGCCAAAGGAAGATATGAAAAATTTTTACATGTATATATAATGTTTTTTGCTATGTGGAAAATATAAGAGTGAAGAAATTATTTGGTTGAGGCTATACTGATTTAAGATAAGCTCCAGGTTTGCTTGACATAAGGTCAAGTCCATGAATATAGCCACTCGCTGTATGATGTAGTCTTAATTCAAATGATGGCTTTTTAAAGGAAGCATGATACATTTAAGTATCCAAGAAGCCATAATATACGACTTGTTGCAAGTAAGGCTGGGTACACATTGACATATGTATTCAACATCTAAAATGGACCAAGCATACTGGTTCGGAAGGCTTAATTTGACACTGGGAAATTAAGGCAGCATTTTTTCCAAAGAGTGTTTTTCTGCAATGGGATTGTCTAAGAAGCTGTTGCAGGACCCCACCGGAATCAGTGAAATAGTCTTTGGGATAGGACCAGGAGTGCGCATTCTAAATACAAACTCGAGATTACTGTGCACTGATGTTTGAGAGCGCCTAGGTGTCGAACTTGTGACACATCTGGTGGCATACGTGTGCTGGGGCTGAGTGTTTTTCTTTTCTCTCTCATAAAAGTCAACAACATCATGCTACCTCCGCATAGTAATAAATACACTGATAAACCCAATGCTTTCCTGGCGCTTTAGACTTAAAAACAAAAAAAGACAGTATTTGAGGTCACAAAGGCCACTAAGTAGTATAATTTTACTTGTATATTCTGGTTGTGTTTCTTTGTTAAAGGATCTCCCAAGAAGGAGAGTAATTTTAATAGTAGGGTCCAAACAATTCAACCACGTGATTTAGAGATTCATGAAGCCAGAGGGCCAGCCTCTGCATTTGACTGGTGGGAATTTGGGGGATAAATGGAATGATATCCAAGTGTGGTTTGGATGCTTTTACTTGGGTGCCCGACTATCGTCCTGTTTACACAGTTACAAGATTGGAAGCCAAGATCCATTTGCCTCCCTTCTCTTTCATTTTAATTTGTTGATGAAGGAGATACCTGCTCCGCTTGCTACTGCCCATCACTAGACTGGACATTAGTTTTGTAACTCTCAGCCATCCCGAAATCATTTCTCTTCCGCCAGGCAGGTTTGACTTCCTCTTGCTAAGCACCCCTCTCTCATCAGATAGAACAGTCTACACAACAACAGAGTTCAAGGTTCTTCTTACTCTCGACCAGAAGAGCATTGAACTCTTTTGTTCTTCCCAACCTCTCCTGTCATAACCTTAAAGAACTCTTAATCTTGTCACAGTCTCTATAGACTTAACTGTTCTGTTTTTCATATCAAGAATATCATATTAAAAACCCAAACCCAACAGCAACAACCAAAAAACAACCGCCACAGACATAACATAATGCTTAATCCAAAAGGAAGCAGAAAATCATGAAAAACAGAACAAATGAAGAATGAGTCAAAGGGAAAACAGATGGTAAGGTGTTCAATTTTAACCAGACTAAGCCTTCATGAATTCATTTTCTGATGCACTCTGAGGGCAACACTATTCATATCCCTGGTCAAGGGTCAGAGGGAATTCCCTGGAGGATTAATCCACATGGGGACTCTGCACATAGATTTTGGGCTTTAACTATCACCCAAAGCCTTCTACAAATCAGATGCTCAGAAGTTAAGCTCTAATACAATTTCCTCCTCTGGTGCTGGATATTATTTATATAACCCTTGGACCACACAGGCTGATGTGCTATGTGGACTTAGCTGGCACTTCACTTAGTAGATAGCTGTTTCTAAGTAGCTGCTTCATGATAGTAAGTACCATTGTTCATAAGCTTTTCAGACCCCAGACACTACTCACCAAGCTAGGATATAGAACAGAAAGCTTATGAACTATGTTATGCTAATTAACAGCGTTGTACCATCAAACTGTGGTCTTAAACTTTCAATCCAGCAAAGCAATCTTGTGAAGTGTTTGGTTATGTCTAGGAGGAATCTGTAGTTGTGTGGAACTTATGTGGTCTATTATACAATGATAAGTCAAAAAGTATTGCTGCTATGGTTCCAGTTCACACATACATGGGGTTATTCCAAACACATTTACCACATTGACTAAATCAATGGCACTATCATTATGTGCTCCTTATGAGCCAGGAGGGTGATTTATAATATTCTGTCATAAAATGATAATGATCTATCTAAAGTGAATCAGAGACATACATAAACTGTATGTATACGAATGGATTTTAGGTTTTAACTTAAAGGTTTCCCTAATGTATGAACAATTAGTTCTGATGAGATGGCCATGCTGAATGCTTGCTGTCATGAAGAGATTACTGAAGATATGAATGCTATATAGCAAAGTGTGGTGAAGAAACCAGATGGTGCTAGTCTATCAGAATAGCATCTGAGGTCTTTAAGATTTGTCTTCTAACAAGCAGCCAACTTAATGAGGCAACAACTAAGTCAACATGGGTGAAATAAACCAGCTTGTTTGATCCAAGGATTGTAAATAATAAAATCCACATCTGAAGGAGGGAATGGTATCAGAGCCTTTATTCTGAACACCTAGTTTGCAGAAGGCTATCAATGACAATGATGCCCCGAGTCCACATGGATTAAGCCTCCTCTGACCATAGTGTAGGGATATGAGTAGCCTGGTGATCAGAGAGAGAGCACGGTAAAGTCGATTATAACAGAATGTAGTTAGGTTAAAATGTAATACCTTATCACCTGATCTCACTGTTGACTAATTTTAAAGCTGTTTTAGTTTTTAATATTTCCTGCTCTTTTAAAAAAATTGAGGTTTTTCTATGTTTTGTCTAGTTATTCTTGTTGTTTTTTTGTTTACTTCCTGTTTGTGTTTTGTATGACTTTGCATATATGAAATCCAGGAGAGGTGGATCTATGGATAGTAATTGGATTGATATTGCCTAGGGATATGGCAGGGGAGGATGGAAGCCATGGGAAGCTAACAACAATGAACATGAGAAGAAAATGTTCTGAAGTTGATTGTGATGCTGATTTTACAACTCTCCTTAATATGTTTGAGTGATTAAATTGTTTGATATGTGAAGTACACGCCAATAAAACTAACAAATATGTCTCTGCATCAGTGGATGGCTGCAGGCAAGTTCTTGGTTAATCTTGTTAGAGTATCATCAAAAACCAAGGTCCAATCAAAACAGTGGCTTCTAAGGGTATCTACCAGACCATTAAATTCAAGGCAGGAAGATCAGGTCAGAAGGTTATGGTCATTGCTTTTTGGCATTCCAAAGGGGTAATTTTGAAAGATTTCCCAAAGGACATGAGATGATCACAGAGTCTTACAGAGTTTTAAGAAAACTGAAAGCTGCATCGATGAGAACTGTCAGAAAATCTGCACTGAGGATTTTTTCCCTTCACAACAGTGTAGTTGCTTGTTCTTTGAACCCAGCAAGGGCTGCCCTGTAAACATTTGGTCCATAAGCTGTACCTTCCCACTGTACAGCCCTGCTTTGCCTCTTCAGACTTCTTCTTGTTCCCTAACTCAAAGAACATTTAAAAGGAACATAATTTGAGTCTCGTGATGCCAAAATTGTTGTTTTTGACATGGTATAAATCCCAGAATCTCCCAAGGATGGGTAAGAGAGATGGAAAGACCTACGTGGATGATAGGTTGAGAGAGAAAGTTTTTTTTAAAATGATTTTGTGGCAATATTTTTTTTTAACATTTTATTAGGGGCTCATACAACTGTTATCCCAATCCAGTGGCAATATTTTTGAACTCTCTCATTATATGAATATATTTGCAGCATTCTATCATGTGATTTCTATTGCTGATGTCAGATGGATCTTGGCTGAAAGCAGAAAATACCAAAGAGATGGTTACTTGTATTTTATTGACT